CTCCGAAGAGCTGCTCTCCAGCAGGGCCCCCCCAAGCCTGTACTGGTGCATGAGGTTGTTCCTCCCTAGGTGCAGGACCCTGCACTTGCCCTTGTTGAACCTCATCAGGTTCCTCTCTGCCCAAACTGGAAAATTAAATAGAACTCTTTTAGTTTGACTAAAACTAAAACTTTTAGTTTAATTTAACTGGAAAATTAAATAGAACTCTTTTAGTTTGTCTGCTTCTAACCCTCCCTCCAGCCCTTTGCTGTGCAGAAGAAAGCTGTTCCAGTTTGTATACCCTCTTTCCCCCCACCTCACTTTTAATAGCTTTTGTTCCCAGCACATATTTTCAAACCCTTTTTTCTATTTAATAAGCTTAGTCAGGAATCTGGGAGAAGAAGAATCAAGCAGAAGACCTCAGCTGCTGTGTTTCTTATCCTTCCATTAAATAACCGTGTAGCGAGGAACGTAAAGAACGTGATCACTTCCTCCCTTGCCGTCTGCGAAGCCTTTCACTGGAACCACCAGAAGAAGAAACCAGAAGCAACCAGTTGCTCACTAGATGTACAACATACTGACTAGCAACACTGCCTGGATTAAAAATTAATTAATTAGGTCTTCTGCCAAGGTTATTCAACATTCACTCACTTATGCAGAACAGCAGTTTGCCATCTAGCCACAAAATCATGGTCCACGCAGGGTACGGTTCTGCGTGCTGAACGCTCAGCGTGAGTGATTTCTATTTTTCTGAAGGAAACACTTTTATGGCTACTATCAGCCATATGCTGTATACTCTCTTGTGCTGCAAGAAGCTTATTCAAGCATTGGAAGTTTTCACATAGGCTGTCAACTCTACAAATACAAACCACACCAAAGTCTTACACAGTTTTAATAATGGCATACTGCAAAAAAACTTAGATGGAAATGAGAGGCTACACTGAAAGCAGCCCTTTTCACAGAATCACAGAATGGTAGGGGTTGGAAGGGACCTCTATGGGTCATCTAGTCCCCCTGCCGAAGCAGGGTCACCTACAGCAGGCTGCACAGGACCTTGTCCAGGCGGGGCCTGGAATATCTCCAGAGAAGGAGACTCCACAGCCCCTCTGGGCAGCCTGGGCCAGTGCTCCATCACCCTCAGAGGGAAGAAGTTCTTCCTCATGTTCAGACGGAACTTCCTGTGCCTCAGTTTGTGCCCATTGCCCCTTGTCCTGTCGCTGGGCACCACTGAAAAGAGCTTGGCCCCATCCTCCTGACCCCTACCCTTCAGATATTTGTAGGCATTTATTAGGTCCCCTCTCAGCCTTCTCTTCTCCAGGCTGAACAAGCCCAGCTCCCTCAGCCTCTCCTTGTAGGAGAGATGCTCCAGTCCCCTCATCATCCTCGCAGCCCTCTGCTGGAC